TAAGTTTCAGTTTTGTGGACAGGAGGCTTAAAGTATTTCGTAAATATATGTGTATGTATATACGTATATATATAAATATATATATATCGAAAATAAACAATATTAATTAAGAAGAGTATGAATCCAGGATGTATTAATTATAATTATTGAAGGAAGCAAGAGCAGGGTCGTTTAAAGAAAAAAAAAGAAGGGTAATCAAGCAGGGGAAGTTCAATGACCATTTATTATTGACTGGCTTAAGCATAGAACTGTGTTTAACTTTTAATTAATTATTTGCTAGTCCTAGTATTTATGCATAATTTTTAGATTAAAAATTGGACAAAATTTTGAGATTTTACTTCAAATGGGTGTGCTGCATTCAAGTCAGAATTTTTGATTTTTATTTATTGTTTATCAGAGATACCACCGCTAATTTTACACACGCTATTTTTTTTTTTTAATAAATAAAATTCATTTGCTACTATAAGAAAGTATATATCTGTATAAAAAAATTTATTTCAAGAATTCTGACTATAATTTTGGTCACATAATAGACAAGATAATAAAAGTAGACTACTTTCCATATTTGTGATGCATTGTTTTCTATAGCTTCCATGATAGTAAGAAAATAAAATGCAATTGTTACTAAGGAATTTATTGGATCCCCATGGGAGCTGCAGAGAACAATGCAAAAATATAAATAAAAATAATTATTGCAGTGTACTCACCTCTTGATTTCTTTTTCTCCTGGTCATACATTATCACCACTTCCATGACTTTGCCAAAGCGATTAAAGAATGATCTCAGATCAGTTTCTGTTACATTACTTGGTAAGCCACCTAGGAAAACTTTTGGGAAGCCTCCACTACGTTTTGGCTTCTGTTGAGTACGTGGATTACATGGTTTTGGGTCAATCTGCAACAAAATCATCCAAATCAATGTATCAATAGAATTCCATCAAAATAAACTGAAAAACCTTTTTGCTCTTAAGAGTTGTACTCACCGTGCGCCCATCAAGCTGATGAGGTCCATTTTGGAGAACCAAGGGGACATTAGCCGGGTCACTGAATGTTACAAATCCAAAGCCACGGCTACGACCAGACTCACTGTTTTTCATAACAACGCAGTCAATTACTTCACCATAGCGGCCAAAGTAGCGTTGCAGATTTTCCTGTGTTGTTTCCCAGGACAAACCACCCACAAACAACTTTCTGCGCCAACAGAAGAAAAACAATGTGATTACATAATTAGTATTAATCTAAAAAATTAAATCCACAGGGTATCCACAAATAGAGACAGGGATTTTTTTCTGCACTCATTTATAATCACAAGGGATATTTGTTGCATTGAATTTCTGCGGAGGGGTTGAGTTTACGTTTGTACTCGTTAAACTTGTGATATTAAATTCCCGAGAATATCGGTGGATCCCCTGTATTTATTAAATTTATTATAATTACTATTAACGTGATTTCTAATTAAAACACTTAATTGGAAAATATCCGATAGCTTTAGATGCAAATTCCCCGAGTGCAGCAAGAGGGATGCACATTGCAATGTGCTGAATAATACAGGCGACCTAGGGTTTCCCAGTTACGGTTAAAACGACTATAAAATAAAGCCCAGCAGGCCGCATAATAATCTCAGTTAGCCGAGCGTGTGCGAGAAAAAGCCCGACGGCGAGAGAGCACGAAAACGCTGTTCAGGATATAGAGCATAAAAATAGGGGATCTAGAACCGAAGGATGGCGGTGAACTTTCGCGCAGCGACTATACACGGGAAAATTCATGGTTTCGTCGGCATAACTCTAGATTAACCCTTTCTTAGCTAAAGGCGACTATAGCCCACCGGATAGTGGCCGGATTGCTTTACACTACACGCGTCTATAGTCGCCCGTAAAAATTTTAGGATCATTAACAGCTTCCCTAGAGTATCCCTATTAAAATTCATTCGCTGCAACACCGACAGATCGTTACGACAAAAAATATAAAAAATCGAACTGAATGGTCAATGGCAAATATACGGTTTCACCGATAGGGGGGAAAAAGCAATCAGAGGTTGCCGGGTGAAGGAGACGAAACACGGTGGAAAGCCGGCATCGGTGAATAATTAGGAGTGTGAATTAGTTTTGAGGGGTTTCCAAAGGAGGGCTCTAGTTGGAGATGCAGAACTGCAAGAACTCCGTTGGACCAAAACTCGAGCCGCTTCGCAGAGTTGTTATTATTACGATATAACTTGTATTAATATTATTACAGTAGTGCCTGGAGCGCGGCGAATTTTCACTGAACAATTCTCGCGGAGGCCCCGATTTGGAAAAGTATTCGAAACTAATTCACGGTGTGTGCCGATATTTTCCCCCCGTCGCGAGAAAAACTACAACACCGAAACCGCTCTCGCTGGTCCGGGGGGGAAGAAAGGTTGGCCTCGCGTATCGAGGCTGCTCGTAAAGGACCGCGATGATGTCCGATGACGTCTCCGGTCGTCAGAAGCTGCGATTTTAATCACGATCGAGATAGGATGCTAACGAGGTAACGCGAAACCCGAGGTGAATGGGATACGCAAATGGAGATCCCACGCAATAAGAGCCGTCGGGCCGTGTACGCGTCCCGATCGGATACGAACGGTCTATCGCGCGTTAATGCGGTCGCTTAATCACGTTTCTTTACTCACCCCTTTTCGTCGTCGTCCATTTCGGTCTTCACTCTCATAATATTTCACTTAAAACTACGAGAATGTTGTTAGTATAAGGGCGCGAACGGGAATATGGCACGATGCTTAGCGCGGACGAGGGTAATGGCTCCCCACAATGAACGCGACGTCGAGAACAGAATGTAAACGTAACGAAGCGAATCGCGTCACTTCCGTCGACCCGCCGAGTCAAATCAGCAACCGACGATCGTCGCGCCGCAGGTGCGAATTTGTCGAAACAGTGCGCCCTCTATAAACCACGGTAGCCCGTGCATTCGTGGCCATTTTCAATCGAGGCTTCACGTTGATCGATTTATATATTTTCATTTAAACGAACAATTTCATTTCACGATGCTTTCGACTAAAAATTATTCCTAAGAAAAGACAGCTATCGATTGAATTATCTTTACCGATTGGAAACAGTGATTTTTGATCAACAAGAGTTCGTAGAAAATATTAATCTCTGATCGTTAATTACTGTTGGTTTTTAATTGAAAATTTCATTAGTTTATCGATGCTAGGATTCAAATCAAATCGCAGCGAAATATTGCAATTGATTTAATCTTTTAAACGACTGCAGATATTAATTGTTGATTTCCGAGCGTTCATCGATGATACTAATCGCTAATTATTAATTATTGCTGCTTTTTTAATGAAAATTTATGACGAATTCTGTTTGATTTATGTCTCGAGTAAGTTACGAACGCTTAAACTGTTTTAAATTGTTACACATGGTACAAAATTGAGCATGCGAAAGATAAAACAGCAAAACGATGAAAACGATGTAACAACATGTATATACTACATTCAACTCGATAGTATGATTAATGATATTTCTATGCGACTCGTGACTGCATAGGAAATCCATAATTGAATTGCAACATCAAAAATATATTGCAACAGAGAGTCAATTTAATAGCTGTGCACCGAAGTAATTTGTCGCCATTGATCCAACGAATGATTAAATAACCATCAGAGCTAATTACATCGTATTTAGATAATTAGCTGAACATTTGCCGCTTAATTGCAGCTGATGATTATACATTTTAATTATAATCGTTAATAATTGATCGCACTGGCGTGTTCACAGTCGATTCCACGGGCCACAGAATTTTATAATATTTTTATTCGTACGCCACATGTTCCAGGGGATTGGAGACTTTATTTTGGCCGGCGTTGCGTGGTTTGCGAGATGCATAATGCACTCGTTTCGATTTTTGATGCATCATTAATGAACCTTGTATTGATACGGCCCTGGGGATAGCGTTACCTATTTTCATTGATTTTAATCGTTAAATAAATGATCGCCGGTACGGCCGACAATAATTTTTGGATCGCGACACGATGAAATCGACGGGGAACCCGGGGGAAATAATATATTAATTGAATGCAGTAGTGCATATGGGTTCAACGATCTGTCGTCACATAGCTGGTTCCCGCCATTTTGATCTCGGCACGGCGGCAACGTTCGAATCATCCACGATCACGCTGCGACCACGCTATCGCCGAAGTTGTTGCCCCATCCGGTAACGAAGAAACAGCTACGCCCGTAGTGGAAAGAAAACGTGTCACGCCTCTCTCCCGCCGATCCTCATTTTTATTAAGAGCCGAACGATTTTCTTCTTGAATGGAACGCAATCTTGCAGCCGTTGCATAATGCATAAGAACCGACGCATTGTGCAACACATTAGTCTCTCTACCGGTAATAATTTCATAAGGCACTGATGCGGAACGATGAGAGCATTATCGTCCGCGTAATTCGATACAATCTTGTTGAAATGTTTAATTAAAAACGTTCCGGGGCGTCGCTAATATCGCGCGAAATAATACGCGCGCACAAGTGCCTCCGTAGTGCTAATAGCCGTCGTGAACAACGGGAACGACGAAAGCACCGATGAGAAACAACCGATGATTTCGTACGGCGTACCGTTTCCCTCGGATTTTTCGCTGCTTTGCATCCGAGTCATTCACACCGCGCAGAGGTCAACTATCTTATCTGATAAAGCCGCGATAAAGCGATACCACCACAGCCGTGAACATTTTCGACGGTGTTTCCTTCGAATAACGTGCAACCTCATGCTATACAACATCAGCTAAAATTGATCAAGAATCGGACTACGTACGTGTGGACATTGGCGCGGGAAATATGGATGCTCGAACGACGATCGTTTCTTCGGATATCGTGCAACGTTGTGCAGCAAGATGCGTCGTAATTGCTAAATAAAAATCATGACGAATTTGGCGTACGTATAAACGCGTCAAACATGGCCGCTAAAACGACTATTTGTACAGGAGTCGCGTGCAACTTTATGCTGCAAGATTTACCGAAATTGCTGAAGAATCATGGTGAATCTGAACTCTTCGACACTTTGGCTGCGTCGTGAAACGTTTCATAAATTAAGGCGTTCTATTTAATTAAATTCAAACTAAAAAGTTAAATAGTATGACATCGATTACTTTTTTTAACAATCTTCTGTTTCGCGGATCCTGATAAAATTAGGAAGATACAATAGCTTGGCGTGAAAATAAATGGTTAAATCCCAGCAAATAATTCCGCCAGCCAGGTATGGGTGACGCAGCAGTCGTTGAACAAACGTGGATGCTCAAACAAGGATCATTTCATAGATAGATCGTGCAACTTTATGCCGCAAGATTCGCCAAAATCGCTCGAAGATCGCGGTGTATCTGCACTCCAAATGCAACAAACGTCGAGACCGAAACAACCGCGGCCTGTTCCAGACAATTCTCTTTTATCTATGTGGTTGCCGCACGTGTTCGGGATCATCGTGTTCCCGGGAAGCAGTAAACCCGAGCCGTTTGCGTGGAATCGTGCGCAAAGATGTCCCAAAACCGTGAGATATCACATGTGTAAGATTCCAGGGATCGGTTCGTGCGTCTGCCGCTTTCCGGCGGCTGGATTTCCACGTGGTCTAAAAATAAAATCATCCGAGCGGGCCAGCAGCCAGCAGAAGTTTCCCCCTTTGGGTCATCCATCCGTCCAGATGAATCAATTTCGTCAGGAACATGCGCTCTACCATCGAAGAATGTGAGAAATCTGTGAGGGGTCAACGATCCATAGTTTTCGAGCGCACACCTACGTCGCCGGCCCTCTCGTCTTAATCGTTCCGCTCGACCAAGGATCGAGCGTGGCGAACGGGGGATAATGCGAAATTCACGAAGCGTAAAGGTAGTTCAATTCGCTTCTATTTCGACGGAAGTTCCTGCTTTACGGACTAGCATGGCCGGGCTATGCTATGTAGTGTGTCGGCTTCGGTTCTTACCGAGCGAACGTTCTCCAGCGTTTCGCCAGCGCACGCGATCCTCCCCGGTCGTAGGTGTGTTTCTTGAACGCTGGTTGCACGCGACGCCGTTGCACAATACCCTAACAAGAGATCCGGCCGCGTACACATCTTGCTCGTTCTCGCTTTTGCTCGAGTAAACACGTGTGCGCGCCGACGATTATCGCGCGAGGGAACGCGTCGCGGACGAAATCGCGTACGATCAGCTGCTGTCCAAGCTGGCCTGCTCGAACTAGCCGCGATATCGGAAGCAATTGCCTCTGCAGAGGATACCGGGAACTCGTTCAAGGTGGGGCAGGGTGATCCCCGGTGATCCGCGATTGACAGACCGACGCACAACTGCTAGCTTTTTAAACTGTGTGCACATTCGTTGGCGCAGCTCTTTAACCCTTTGCACTCGAATTGGTGACTCTGAGGCGCCTCTAAAAATTGTTGTATCACGTTCCAAAATAAATTATACATCGTCGTATTTAGTTATACCTGAAAAACTTTTGCGCGAGTCACGAGACTCAATTTCGTATTCACAAAATGCAACAAGTCATGTAAAATGGAAATATTGTAGATCAGAAAGACTGTTCTGGATTTAGAGTTAAAATGGCTTCGAGTGCGAAGGGTTAATCGGAGCGACGAGCTTTGGGATTGGTACAAATTCTTATTTCTCTTTCCTGCGATTATATACCGCAGTTATAGTACATTCTCCCTAATTTTTCTTCATTTTGTGAACAAGAATGGATAATTTGAGAAGAGAAGACACGATTATTCGAGCCTTGCGCCTCGTTTTTATAATTATTGACGATTGACAACTATAAAAATGAGTAATAATCGTATCTCCGCTTTTCAAATTGTCCATTTTCGTTTACAAGCTGAAGGAAAATTAGGGCGAATTTACTGTATTTCTTAACATGTCGGATAAAGTACACTGCGTTTCGTAACTATAAAATCGTTAAAAAAATTTCGGTTTTTATGCATCGTAGTTGATATAACAATGAAGGAAGTATGCCAAATCTGAGATTGCACCGAAAAGACGGTACTTTTCTAAAAAAGGTATACATTTTATATTCACACACATTTTATATTCACATTCAATAAAAAAGAAGAAAAACAGAATGCTAATTTATTCTTGTTTCGTAACTATGGAAACAACNCCGCGGCCTGTTCCAGACAATTCTCTTTTATCTATGTGGTTGCCGCACGTGTTCGGGATCATCGTGTTCCCGGGAAGCAGTAAACCCGAGCCGTTTGCGTGGAATCGTGCGCAAAGATGTCCCAAAACCGTGAGATATCACATGTGTAAGATTCCAGGGATCGGTTCGTGCGTCTGCCGCTTTCCGGCGGCTGGATTTCCACGTGGTCTAAAAATAAAATCATCCGAGCGGGCCAGCAGCCAGCAGAAGTTTCCCCCTTTGGGTCATCCATCCGTCCAGATGAATCAATTTCGTCAGGAACATGCGCTCTACCATCGAAGAATGTGAGAAATCTGTGAGGGGTCAACGATCCATAGTTTTCGAGCGCACACCTACGTCGCCGGCCCTCTCGTCTTAATCGTTCCGCTCGACCAAGGATCGAGCGTGGCGAACGGGGGATAATGCGAAATTCACGAAGCGTAAAGGTAGTTCAATTCGCTTCTATTTCGACGGAAGTTCCTGCTTTACGGACTAGCATGGCCGGGCTATGCTATGTAGTGTGTCGGCTTCGGTTCTTACCGAGCGAACGTTCTCCAGCGTTTCGCCAGCGCACGCGATCCTCCCCGGTCGTAGGTGTGTTTCTTGAACGCTGGTTGCACGCGACGCCGTTGCACAATACCCTAACAAGAGATCCGGCCGCGTACACATCTTGCTCGTTCTCGCTTTTGCTCGAGTAAACACGTGTGCGCGCCGACGATTATCGCGCGAGGGAACGCGTCGCGGACGAAATCGCGTACGATCAGCTGCTGTCCAAGCTGGCCTGCTCGAACTAGCCGCGATATCGGAAGCAATTGCCTCTGCAGAGGATACCGGGAACTCGTTCAAGGTGGGGCAGGGTGATCCCCGGTGATCCGCGATTGACAGACCGACGCACAACTGCTAGCTTTTTAAACTGTGTGCACATTCGTTGGCGCAGCTCTTTAACCCTTTGCACTCGAATTGGTGACTCTGAGGCGCCTCTAAAAATTGTTGTATCACGTTCCAAAATAAATTATACATCGTCGTATTTAGTTATACCTGAAAAACTTTTGCGCGAGTCACGAGACTCAATTTCGTATTCACAAAATGCAACAAGTCATGTAAAATGGAAATATTGTAGATCAGAAAGACTGTTCTGGATTTAGAGTTAAAATGGCTTCGAGTGCGAAGGGTTAATCGGAGCGACGAGCTTTGGGATTGGTACAAATTCTTATTTCTCTTTCCTGCGATTATATACCGCAGTTATAGTACATTCTCCCTAATTTTTCTTCATTTTGTGAACAAGAATGGATAATTTGAGAAGAGAAGACACGATTATTCGAGCCTTGCGCCTCGTTTTTATAATTATTGACGATTGACAACTATAAAAATGAGTAATAATCGTATCTCCGCTTTTCAAATTGTCCATTTTCGTTTACAAGCTGAAGGAAAATTAGGGCGAATTTACTGTATTTCTTAACATGTCGGATAAAGTACACTGCGTTTCGTAACTATAAAATCGTTANATTTTCGTTTACAAGCTGAAGGAAAATTAGGGCGAATTTACTGTATTTCTTAACATGTCGGATAAAGTACACTGCGTTTCGTAACTATAAAATCGTTAAAAAAATTTCGGTTTTTATGCATCGTAGTTGATATAACAATGAAGGAAGTATGCCAAATCTGAGATTGCACCGAAAAGACGGTACTTTTCTAAAAAAGGTATACATTTTATATTCACACACATTTTATATTCACATTCAATAAAAAAGAAGAAAAACAGAATGCTAATTTATTCTTGTTTCGTAACTATGGAAACAACAGAGTAAAAAAAAAGTCAACGTATGTACGTATTGTGAACGATAACGCGGTGTATTCTGGAACGGGTTAATCGAAGATCCGATTTAATTTTAATAAGAGTCTTAGTGAAAACTGAACATTTCTCGATGATTTCATAAACTTCATAACTAAATTGCAGAATATTAAATTGCTGCAAAACGGACTTGACAGCTTCGCGAGAACGAGTCGTGCAACAATATAAAGCTGAGGTCATCGCGGAGCTTAAAGTCTACACTTTCGCTGTCCTCCGTTAATTTGTTGCCGCGATGATTTAATGACGCGTCACGAGGGAAATTGGGTACGCGTTTTCTCCTAGAAAATGCCATTGTTTGCAAATCCTTGCGCAAATGCCCGCAGTTCGTAAACACAGAATCGTGTTCTCATCGCCGAATCAGCGTTCGATCGGGCTACTACCATAAACAAACGCGTGGACACAGCTCACAGATCGCGACGGGAACTCGTCCGATGAATGAATTTTAAAGCAGACCGGCTAATATCCCGCGTTCCCACCGATAAGAATACTTTCCGAGGGTCACGAGGCTCTAAACATAGACCTCGCGCGCGTTCGATCGCGGGTCCCGCTCCAAAATTTAGGTAATCGGGTCTGTATATCGATAATCCATAGTCTAATAAAAATAGAAGCGTGTCGCGGCTGCCGGCCCAGCCGAGGAGGAATCGGTGGGATCCGTTGTTCGACGACGAACCAATAACTTCGGGATGCAGATCGCGCTGTGCGGACGCTGGTTACGCATCTGTCGAGATTCCGCAGGCGTTTAGCGACCGCGAGGAAACGCGGGATACCGGAGGTTCTTACATAAGCTTTCTTCTGGCGTACGTGCATCTGGAAGAAATCGCGAAGAATCCGGCGGCCATCGCGTGGCCAGCGAGACGAAGTTCGGGAGACGAAGTTTGAGAGACGAAGAAGCTAGAAAGTCAGAGAGGAAGCCGAAAGGAGAGGATCCGGAAAAGAGTCGGATCCGAGAGGCTGTCGAAGGTTGCCGAGGTCAGGAGCAGGGGATGAAGGACCTGCGTTGATCGCCGACCTCGTCCGAAACGCGAACGCTTGCCCGTCCTGATTCCCGATGCGATTGGGTCGAGGGAGTTTAGTGCACACTGAACCGACAGGCCGATCGGACTGCCTGGCTCCGACTAGCTGGCTGACTGCTTGGCCGACTGGTTGCTCGGCTGCCTGACTGCAAGCCGGCTCGGTCTCTTCTCGATTCTCGTTCAGTCGCTGTCCCGACATCCTGCTCGCAACACGTCCGCGGCGGGTGCCACCGCGGCCTCAGCCTCTCCACGTTCCCTCTGGTCGTCATCTCGGCTTCAGCCTCTGCCATGCCGCGGGGGACAAGGCTGGGCCCAGGTTTTTTCGGCGCCGGCTAGGACCCACGTGGATCGACAGCCGAATAGAAGTCGGCCGGATCGGCGCGACGGCTCGCGGCGAAGCTTATCGGAGAAGAGATACGTACGCGCGCACCTTCGCCGGACCGCTTCTAAGTCCGCTAATTAAATCGGTGTGTTGGAAGTTGTCGGACAAGCGACGTTCTTGTTGTGCGGGACAGTGAAAGAGAGAGAGAGAGAGCGCGCGGGTCGTGGGTGGACGAGCAAGGTGGCAGGCTGTGACCGAGCGGACCCCGAAATTTCTGCGAGCCGGCATCAGCTTCTTGCGCAAGTAAGTGCTTCCGCGTTCGTAAATTGGGAATGGAGTGGAACACAAAGGACGATTGTTTAACTCATTGCATAATGAGACTGTTCAGCCGTGAACGAGGACCGCCTCGACAGCCTCTCGCGCGAGCCTCTCTTTTATTATCGCCGTGCCGGGGCCCAGAAGTGTCGATGACTCGCCGAGAACTCCTACCGGTTGATTGAACAACGCGGTTGGTTTGTCGCCGATGCGAGTCACGACCGCGGCAAATCTGCCCCGCCTGACGTGCCGTTGCCCGCGATGATCCTGCCTGCCTTCTGCACCCTGCCTAGATCCGTCTGTGGGAACAATTAGCGGAGACCTCGTTCCTCGTAACAGCTTCTAATGGCCTGGCCTGCCGGTCAGGTCAGTCCGCCGAGAACGAGACCGTTCGGACGCTAATGCGAGTCGATAACCACAACGTATCCCGAACAACCTGACCAGAAATCCTCCCGCCGGCACGTTTCCATCGTCTCGGACCCGAGTTTTAGCATTCTGGCCACGGTGCGATCGTTCCCCGTTTGCCCCACGGCTCCTTCCGTCGTTTCACGAATATCCTCACGAATTTTGTCCGAGGCCCCGACGTGTCGACGAACTCGATTCGAGCTCATTGTCGCCGGTTCCCGGCCTCTTCGCAGTAATGAGCTAGACGGTGAATGCAGGGACTAGCGATCTGGAACTGACTTTCGGCTGAAACCGGTTCTCTACCACGTCTCTCGTCCACGTCCTCGTCCGTGGCGCGTCACTCCGTAGCCTATCCTTTAACGGGACGAGCGCGATCAGGATTTCGGTGGAATCGGGATTCCCGACGACGAGGATCGATGGGCGATTCGCGGAACTCGCTTCGACGTCGCGGAGAATTTTCCGGAACACGTATCGACGTTTCTGAAAATCGGGATTCGCTGTCCGGACGCCTCCGTGTTTTTTTGCTGAATTTACCGCGCGCTATCGCTCACTATTTCTGACTAATCTTTCTCACGGGCCGATAAGATTGTGGGCGAGAAGAGAGACTATATATATATATGTATTTGCCGGATCGTCTTTCGACATGCTTTCGTTCCTCCGAGGCCACGATAAATCGTATTAACGGAATCTCCGGCTCTTTCTGTGGACGTAATCCCGCAGCGATTGTGAGAACGGAAACGCGCGTACGGGTTGCGGCTAGAAACAATCATGGATGACCATCAGCGGCCTAACACTCGGCGAATCGTTAATTTACAGTTAAAGAGAGCGTTAAACTGCTAATTAACGCGATCATCTCTTATCGGTGCATCGGGATTATTCTTTGAATCGGTGGCGCCCCCGCGAAGCGGTCGATTTTTGTCTTCGAAAGTGGCACGAAAATTGGTGACGCTTGAAAATCGTGGTTTATTCGCGAACGATTTAATTATATGCGCGCTCTCTCAGCCGACGTCGACAGATGCGTCCGTGTTGTCAAGTAATGATGTGACATCATCGCTCAGCGTAATGGTTTTTTCGAAGAGAAGCCCATGAGGCGTGTTATTACGGGGCCCGACGTAATGCAAAGCATATGAAACGTGTTTTATTTCCCTTAACCAGTTGGCTGTTGCAATCTCGTTGAAAGCTGTATGCGTGGCTGTTGTAATATATTTAGAACTAAGTTCTAACGAAGTGATTGTTCCATTCTCTCATTTCGTTATTAACATTTATTTATTTACTTCACTTCATTTGGTCAGCTGTCTTCGACGAGTGTACTCGTCATAACACGATATGTGGTAATTTCTTTGTAACGAGAATATTCGTTAAAAAAACGAGTATATTCGTTCTCTCTCTCTCTCTCTCTCTCTCTCTCTCTTTCTTATCCACAGCTTGGAACCCATAGAACTAAGCAACTACATTTAGATGCTCCAATTGCAATATTGAATCATATGCAACTAGAAACCAGTTGTCTAAATAATTCATTGATTGTTGTAATCCATAAAAGTACTTTCAAAAAATGACTTCACAATTTCAAAGGTTTCCCAATAGTTTCAATTATTATTAATACAATTGGACGGCTCAGAAGCTAATCAGGACAAGTCCATAATCCATAAAAGTACTTTCAAAAAAGTAATTCACAATTTTAAAGGTTTCCCAATAGCTTCAATTATTATCAATACAATTGGACGGCTCAGAAGCTAATCAGTGCAAATCCATTAACCTTAATAAATAAGGATCTTGTAGATTAGCTGTAAAAAGATAATAATTTGAAGCAGAATTCTCATTATAATTAAATAAGAAGTATCAATATCAGTACTTAATTATTTTATTTCATTTTACGAATTCTTATTTGTTTTAACTTTATTTCGTTCAGTCATTCCATGGTCGATACAAGTGCTGTTTATTTACGATGAAATTGACTGTATTGATTTATCGGTCGGAAGATTTATCTTTCCAAAGAAAAGTGGACTCACGCTGATCGGCTACTGCACCGACCAGTTAGACCAAACAAAGCAATATTTATTAACTACGCCCATTGGACCGTAACAAAAATAACTTACACAACTACTTTCAATTTACGATCATCGTTTCTTGAAATTTTCTGCCGTCCTCAAATGGCCGTCGACCACTGTGCGTCGTTTCTCTTAATCGTCCAGCTTCAGTTATCCCGGCAGGGATTCGATAACTGCCCGCGTTCGGATATGTACATCAGCCAACCGGGAACCGGTTTCGCCAAGGGACAATTTCGTCCCTTTGTCTACGCCGATTTAGGGAAAAAATATTCGGCCATCCCGACCGCGCAACCGTTCCAACGGAACAGTTCTTTTCTCGCATTATTCTGGAGCAGATAGCATCGCGCGGAGTCACGCCGAAATTCCTTTGAAGAGTTTTCCCGCGTCGTTATAACTGTGAACGGGAAAAAATATTTGACTAGCTCCTCCAACGGAGGCGATAACGTCCGTCGAGTATTCGAAGTATCGTTCGAGAGCCAGTGAGTACACTTCAATTAATTATCAGCGTTCGGGAAACTAGCACGCGCGGAATACCAGCGAAACTTTGCATCGAGTCTGGAAATGGAAAACTCTTCGATAACCAGGCTGAACATAATTAATACAGTCCGAAGACGAAGAACTAATTCCTTTCGAGAGATTTCTAGTAATAGTCTGTTTAGTATGAATGTTACTACGGTCTATTAAGTCGGACCCAAATTCTGTTCTCGTATCATCAATATTCAACTCTTTGCACTCTATTTTCGCTGTAATCAACATTTTAACCCTGATCCACCGTGTATATCCATGTCACACTTACCGGCGAAAGTTAACAATATTTATATACAAAATTTGATATTTTAATAAATATGGTATATTTATTAAAATATCTAATAATATCTAATAATATTTTATAAAATATAATAGGTATATTAAAATATAATAATATACCTATTCCATTAAATTAAATGAAATGAAATTATTAATTCCACTTATATCGCAATACTGTTTTATTTAGTGCACACGACGAGTTAAAGAAGCAGTAAAAAGAATAAAATAAGAACGTAAAAATAAAATTAATATACGTCTTGTAACAACCAAGGTTTAAGAATTCAAGTGAATACAGGCACACGATAATTTTCTTCGTCTTCTAAGAAATGATTACGATCGAAAAAATTACGATCATCGCAACTTCGTAGAAAATAGCGTAACAAGGGGTTGAAACGAGACTGCTCCGATCTCAAATAAGATCGTAAGGACTGCGTTACTTGCGACGTGCACATCGGTAAAGCTAGAATCGTTGTTGGCAATTCTGTAAAAAATTGTTCCCTCTCGAAGGCTGCGTGCAAATCGTGCGCGAATATTTCCGCGACGAGGACGCGCAGCATCTTTCCAGGCAGGGGTGTCGGCTCGGGACTCGCCGACTATTTTCTGTGCTCGGTTCGAAACGATTGGGTAAATGCTGCTTGTTAGCAGCACGTGGAGTATGCATTCCTCCGTATAATTCGCGTAGGTAAGAGAACCGCGGACGCTTAATTCACCGGGAACGTCTTATAACGGCGCGTCGTGCTCTTGGTTATGGATACACTATTATGCCACGGGAACTTCTTAGAGCTTCTGGGGCCGCTTTGTTCGCCTGCTTATCGCTGTGTGACGGGGCAAAGTATAAAAATCATCGCCGAGTCAATAAGTGGCCACGTGGATACTGTTCGATAGCTCCAATTGAATCAGTTTTATCACGCGACATGGTGAACATTTCGATCGTCCGCGACGATCGATAATTGCCTCCGTCGGGGCGTACGCAGTCGGAAGACGAGCCGCGATAGGTCGATCCCGCTTCGTGCGTCGCACGGTCGCGAAATGGATGCTCGACGATCCAAAAGGAAAAAAAGAGGAGAACGATCGTCGCCGAATATTAATCGCTGACGCGCGACTCGCCCGCTTCTCTCCCAGCACGTGCCCGACCTAAATCCTTCGAGGAGCCACTCGTCGATATATTGATCGTATCAATTTTCGTCCGCGAATCGGACGAACGATCGCGCAGCCCGCTCCTTATCAAACAACGGCTTCGTGTGTTCCTTTCAGATTAACATGGAATCCCGATTGCTCGGACGTTCGAGAACTCGCGGACAGTTCGCGGAGCAGCTCGGCAGAGTGCGGTCGCTGAGATCACCGAAAGGATTCGATGTAAGTTGGCTCATAATCGTTGATCCCGCTCGCGTCGCATGCAAATATTATCCGCCGCGGATAAACTGAACCGAAGGTATTGTTGACACTCCTCGCAGCGCAAACGATTGGTCAAACAACGGCCGCCTTTGTAGTCTCGCCGAGAATCTCGAAAAACACACACACAGTCGAAGTTTGTATTTTAAACGGCAAACAGCCTTGGACCAAGGTCCAATGGACGGCTGAGCCGCTTCGGGGACGTTTCGTGCCTTAACTCGGTCAAGACGGTGTGCCGAGCCTTCTCTTTTGACTACCGAACACTCGGTTTAAAATACCGCCGGCCTCTCTTGATCCCCTTTGCTTCAAATAGCTCGCGGACAATTCCGTGTTCCGAAATATTTCACGATCAAGCTGGCAATACGGTCGACACTCATTTCCGTGGCCTTCTACGATGTCATTCGGACTGCCGGAGATCGACCGTGGTTGTACGTTTCGACTTTGAAATACGATTACTCGTGAACTGTTGCACTTACTATGACGATTCTGGTACGAATATGTTGCCTACTAATTTTACCGAAGCACAACTATTTTGTTACACAACTTGGAATATTCAAGTTGCTAATAAAATATGGAAAGTGGAGAAAATGTTACAATTCTCCCCCTCTCCCGGGGGTTGATTGTAGCACAGCTTGGTGTCGACAGTGACGTACATTTAAATTTAAGAAATCAAGTCGTTTATTCGACGAAGGTTATAATAATTAGACCGCGGCTCTTCATGGAAAATAAAAGTTTTGTCGAGTAATTGTATAAGACAAAAATTGAATAACAACGTATTCCTTCGTTTAATAGATTTAATCGATTCCAATGTTGTCATTATTCTGAATTTCTCTCAGCAACTTCTGCAATAGAAATAAGTCTAACAATAATAAATAAAAAGAGGCTCCAGTATCATTCGAAGATTCTCCCGGCATTATCGAAGTGCCCCTGGTTGCATCTATCAACGGAAAATACCTGTTCGAGTTATCGGTGTAGAACGACCCTAAAACGAGTCATTTTTGTCCGCAGGTTTGATCAGAGCAGCGCTCGGTGCTTCCAGTGGGAGCAATGGACGAATCCCCGGCGATCTTACTAATTAGCGCATTGAAATCATTAAAGACGACGGCGGCGAGCGTTAGAATGACGACGATGAACCCTGCCGGTGGTCCGTGGACCCCGGAAGAGTGCCAATGGAGGAGGTGACGTATCACCCAGTGATGCGTAAACGACGTGGATTGGCCAGCGCCGTTCTGGGCCTGATAGTGGGCCTTCTCCTAGGTTTCCTGATCCAAAGTTTCCGGATCCTGTCTACGAGCCATCAGCAACGGTTCAATGTTTACGCGTCCTCGATGGCCGGGCCGCGGGCTGCGAGGCCGTCATCGACGAGAAACATCAAGCTGATGGACGACGAGCAGATAAACAGTTCGTCGACGAGCCTGGTCTTCGTGGGCGTGATGACGGCCGGCAAGTACCTCGACACGAGGGCCAAGGCCGTCTACGAGACCTGGGGTAAGGATCTTCCAGGTAAAATTGCCTTCTTCTCGTCGGAGACGTCCACCGTTCCCGAGAACTGTCCGGATCTGCCTCTGGTCGCGTTGCCGCGGGTCGACGACACCTATCCGCCCCAGAAGAAGTCGTTCATGATGCTGCAGTACATGTGGAACAACTTCGGCGATCGTTTCGAGTGGTTCCTCAGGGCGGACGACGACGTTTACGTGAGGACCGACCGTCTCGAGAAGCTGCTGCGATCCGTCAACTCGAAGAGAGCCATGTACATCGGCCAGGCTGGCAGAGGGAACTCCGAGGAATTCGGGCTGCTGTCCTTGGAGTACGACGAGAACTTCTGCATGGGCGGACCGGGCGTCATTCTGTCCAGGGAGACCTTGAGGAGGATCGTGCCGCACATAAAGTATTGCCTGAGACATCTGTACACGACGCACGAGGACGTTGAGCTGGGGAGGTGTGTGCAGAAGTACGCCGGCATACCTTGCACCTGGAGCTACGAGGTAACATTCTTTTACCAATTAGGCGACGTTGGTCTACTTGGCTTAAGGGGTACCAGGCGGTAACCGAGAACCGTGCCGTCGACTTCAGGTTGCTACGGAGGCACTGCTAGACTTTGCTAGGTCATTGGAGATCGTAGATTAGTTTGGATATCAAGTGCGATGTCGACTTCTGGATCTTCGAAAGCAATCGATAGAGCTACACTCTATTTGAGCTCGGTTTCGAGATTTTATTCTCAGTGGTTACTTTCGAGTAGCTACGGAGGTACTGATAGACTTAGCTAGGTCATTGCAGATCGTAGATTAGTTTGGATATCAAGTGCGATGTCGACTTCTGGATCTTCGAAAGCAATCGATAGACCTACACTTTCTTTGTGCTCGGTTTCGAAATTTGATATTCAGTGGTTACTTTCAAGTAGCTACGGAGGTACTGATAGACTTAGCTAGGTCATTGCAGATCGTAGATTAGTTTGGGCGTCAACTGCGATGTCGACTTCTGGATCTTCGAAAGCAATTGATAGACCTACCAGAGCTCTCTTTGAGCTCGGTTTCAAGTTTTTATCCTCAGTGGTTACTTTCAGGTAGCTATGTAAGTACTGCTAGTCTTAGCTAGGTCACTAAAGACGATAGAATAGTTTGGGTATCAACTTCAGAGTCAAACCCTGTGAACTCCATTTCTGGATCTAGATGCGTTCCCTTTTCTAGATTTATTCTTATCTAGGGATAGCTTCGAGGCAGCTAAGTAGGTAATGCTAGATATATTGTTAACTGGATCGTTCTAGATCGTACAAAATTCTGGGTACCAACTTCAGAGTGAAAGCCCCAAAGATCAATTTCTGGATTTTAAGAAGCAATGGGTGCAGCTTCACTTTTCAAGCTCATTGTCTAGATCTGTTCTTCAGTGACCCAGCGTTAAGCGGATCTAGACCCAGCGTTAAGCGGATCATTGAGGACGAAGGTAGAATATTTTGGGTACCAACTTCAGAGTCAAGACCCGCAGCTTCTCCAGAAGCGAACGTAACTTCGTTCTCTTCGGGCCAATTTTCTAGATCTTCTTTCCATGAACACGTCCCGGTATTGTCCAGCTGCCTCGCGTGTCCCGCTGCCGTTCACATAACATTAAATCTATTTTCGCTCGCCCTCCTTTCCTCTCTCATTCTCTCCCCATCCGTTCTACGTTCTACCTTCTCTCTCTCTCTCTCTCGTTCTCTCTCTTTCTGTTCCTCTCTCGCTCCACGTGCACACACAGCCGCGACCGTACACGGCACGTGTAATTTGATGATCGACACAAGCTCACGGTTCATTAGAACGCCGGGCTATCCCACAGAACGCGACACGTACGCGATACCGCTTTCTACACGTACGAGTTACCTGATGAGCGATGCACAGCCGGAATCTCCGTTCCGGCTAACGGTGACTCGGCAAGGAATCCTATGATTCTATCGCGTGCAAATAAATGAACCTCTTTGCTCGATCATTTTCCCATTTTTCCTGCGGATGCCTTGGAGATTCACGCGCCTTGCCTACGAGCGCGAGCCGCGATTCAAAAGATACCGGTTTCCACCGGTTTCCGTTTTAATGGCGGTGCTAATCATTCTTTTTATGTCCTCGCGCATCTGCCCGATTTCGTCGGGCTGCGAACATCTCCGCGCACGCCACAACCGGCACTTAACACTAGATCTACCGCGCATCGATCGCAGAAAAAAAACCCGAATCTCTCGGTAGTTCAAAATTATCGAGAAACTCCGTAAACACCGTCGTGCGAAACGATCGGATCAATTTCTTGGTTTTCGGGAATACGGTGATAAAATGTCGGGAAGTTAAACAAAAAAATCCAGTCCCGTCATTCTTATGGAGCAGCGCGCGTCGGCTATTTTTAGTGCCCGGTAGATTTATCGTTAAGTAGAAGCGTGACGGCGTCGAACGATCATGCCCCTGCCGTGTAGATCGGACGTGGCACGAGCTCTCGGACATTCGCAGTTGCATGGAATTCGTCGGAACGATGCGCAAGTGGCTGCACAAGCGATCCGCTGAGACACGAAACCCTGTCCGAATTAGGTGACTCAGAAAATCGGGCAATTAAACTGTCCCGGACGGACGGACTGACGGACGGACGGAAAACGGCGGCGAGCCGGTAACGTAACGTAACCCGCTCCGTATTACAGGTTTAAATACGTATGTAAGCTACACGTCTGCATGATGCGCAGGGTACGCTATCATTGGGTTAACTCGGAAGGTACAATGCACAGATGAGGATGTTAGTCGTTAAGTACAAGCGAATAGCACCCTGCTAACCCAGTGACCAGATCGAGCGATTCTCCTCCATCTTGACACTCGGCGTGTACCGTCGGTGAGCGGTTGAGCAGCAATTTGCAGCACGAAGTGTCTCGAATCTACGCGTAGACCTCCTTGGAATAATTTAATCGAACTGCAGTCCGGTGTTAGCGCTCAATGTTGCGCGACGCAGCCCGCGGCTATTATGTCACATTGCCGGCGACGGCGTGGCCCGAAACACGATCCAATCAAAAGGATTGTTGTGGATTGAGGAAATCCTAATAAAACGCGGTCGAACGATAGAAAAAAAAAAGAAAACGAGGGAAAACCGGCGAATCTCCTGGTCATCGGAGATCGCCAAGGATTCCGGTGCAGCCGGACACGATCGTGTTCGCGAGCGTCTCTTGCACCGGTCCCATTCAGACCGCTCGTTTGAAAGGTGAAACGCAACGGTGGAGGATGTCACTCGTTAGATACGCACAAATCGTACCCTGCTAACCTACTGGCAGTCCATTCATTCCCGTCTTGACGCTCGACGTAAGGTCGAAACACTTAATAGCGGGACGTGCGAGCGTTCGCTCTTCGCGAGTTTTCGCGGCGATCGAGCGATATCAGCGTCCACGGTTCCCTTATCGGCTTGCGAGACCGTTCACACATTCCAGGAATCTACGTATGTACGTACGTAGGTACGTATAAGGTGCGCGAACCGCACGGTGTGTGTTCGCACGACGCCGCGGCACGGAACACGGACGAGCACCGCACGTTTTCGATTACAGGCGCGTAAATCGTAAAAAGAAACCGCCGAGGGAACGAATCGGTCTCGGCACGGCGAGCAAGCGAGACACCGAGCCGGGACGATTGTGTGTAACTGGAGACCACCACACCCACTGGTCTCACGGCTTGATTAACACCCGTTCCGCGGGGCCCGTGTTCCACCGAGATGCGTCTACGCGTTCCTGATAGCAATAATTATCGGCCGCGCGCGGGCAGGAAGTTCATACTTTAACCTTAACTCCGGTTCTGTTTGCGTCAATTGCCGTCTGTCAAGGCTCGCGGGTGCACGCCGATTCGGGCCGCGTTAATTCGGCCACTCGAAATCTACCGCCGCCACGAAATACATATGCATCACGATCGCGTTGCATTCGTATCGAACTTGTATCCAAAATTCTCGATGGAAATCATGCCTGATCGGATCGCCTCCGCTTTTCCAGATGCAGTCGATCCTGTACCACAACAGCAGCGGTGCACAGGCGTTCACCGGAAACCTGAAGAAAAAGGAAGTCCATCGTGCTATTACCCTGCATCCCGTCAAAAGCCCGCCGCATATGTACAGGCTGCACAATTACATGAGGGTAGGTAAAACCAGCCGAGTAATACTACCTGCGATCATTGCTATCGGGCCGCCGCAATAGGTGCTATTTCCTTTCCAGGCGCTCAGAATACAGGACCTGCAGCAGGAAAGGCTGAATCTGCACCGGGACGTCTACGCGATGGCCAAACAGCTGGGCACCGCCGTCGAGGATTTGAGCGGCTTCGAAATAGCTGACGGTGTGCCGCTGTTTCCGGTTGATCCTCACTCCGCGGAGTATCCCGGCGACACGGAAATATTGGGTAATTGTCGGCCGGTTTCGAGGGATCGTTATCTCTCCCTTCGACGATCGCGCACGGTCCTAAAAGTTAAGCGACCAGCTTTAATCGCTGACCTTGCGGATTTTTTTTTACACGCGGTGGAAATCGTATGCGGTTACTGCGAGATCCAGTTTTCTTCTGAATCGTTTGATCGAGTTAAAAAATATTATTATAAAAATAATTTAGAGGTACATACTTTGTAATTCTTTGAATACTTCTGCGGTTTTTAGTCATTATATTAATTTTATTTATTTACTTATTTTATTTATTTTATTTTATTATCACTTTTAGTTACAAATTTTTAAACTCCACGGTTTCTAGTAATTATCCCTAGAACAACCCACTGGGGTTGCCGGCGACCCTACAAAGTTCTTAATTTCTGAACGTGTGAATAAATATTAAAACGTTGAGTTTTTCCACGTACTTTTGACTCTTGATTTTATGAAGGATCAAAAAGAAATTTATATCGAGATTTCGGTACTCTTTATATTTTGAAAATAATAAATCATATTTTAATTATAAGATCTTATGTTTGGTCGCCCGCGATCCTACAATATTACCAACGCCGAAAAATAGAATGGGGTTGTTTTAGGATTACATTAGACTGTGGATTTTTTTGTAGTAAATCACGGAAGTATCCACAGTTTTGTATTGCATCCATTCATTACGGTCAGGAATGCATAAAATCTGCACTCTGATAATTGAGAGAAATATCGTGTTCGCGATACGTACTTCGTAACATTTCGACAAATCAGTGTAACAAAAAAAACGAACCAGATACATTTGTAACAATGTGAGAAAGCAAAGTATCCCAACGAAGACAAATGGAACTGTCGAAGACCGACTAATTGTCCAAGATTGTTCGCATTCCCGGCAATTGATACAAAGTGCTCCGATGCTCATTTATCTCGAGGAAAAAGTAACAAATTAACGGATAGAAAGAAGAGAGGCCGGGGTCGTCCTTGCGACAGAAAAAGTCTGCCCCGGATCGTCGTCGTCGGTTTCAAGACCAATCGCGTTTCCGTGGATGTGCGTTATTAATAGAGCCACTTAAAATGATTAACTCGTGCGAATTGATCGCCGGACCAACGTCGCTGCAACGAGGTATGGGACGATTCGTTTCAGCCCATCAGCGGTGACGATCGGAATTTCGATCGTGATTCGACTCATTTCCATTTTCTGCAGTTAGAGTGTGATCGCTCTAACGTGTAATTGGTCGATCAGCGGGCAAAGTGATTCGCGGCGTTACGTGCGCTTATCATCTCCTAAATCAATCTCGCGAACTTCGGCGACAGTTCTGATCAGAACATTGGGAACCTTTGCAATCTTGTTCTCTTTTACTCGACTTCTGTTCGATCCAAGAAATAAATTCGTGCTGATTGACGCTCAGCTTTTTTTATGGTTTATCTGCTCTTCCCAAATTGTCCATTTTTGTTCACAATCTGAGCGTCAATTAGGGAGAATTTACTGTAGCTAGCTACATATACGATGCTTCGTCGGTCATCTACTAGATCTATCTCGCAAACTACGATTATTATTCTACTTGGAAAATTAGGAAACCTTGCAAACTTGTTCGCTTTTACTTAATTCGTCTACAACGAAAGCAGTAAATATTTTTTAACGATCGTCTACTAGATAAATCTCGCAAACTACGATCAATATTCTACTTAAAAAATTAGGAAACCTTGCAAACTTGTTCGCTTTTACTTAATTCGTCTCCAACGTCTACTAGATAAATCTCGCAAACTTTGACAAGTTTCTATTCGATTTGTCTCGAACTAACGGAGCAAAAATTTCGTTCTACTCATCGAGATTTAGTGCGATTGACCCATTTACAGGATATTTCATTTCCTTAACAACAACATCGACAAATTAAACACATTTGCAGCCAATGTATAAACACTTAAATCAAGTCTTCCTAAACTGATTTCATGATTCACCGATTCTCTGTCGCTCAAACTAAGCTACGTTTTTGCTCTGTTATAAAAATGCTTTCTCAACCCGTACATTTAAACGAACTAAATTAAAAATCGCTCGACGACCGATCCGCGGGTGCAAGACGTCGACGGAGGAGAAAAACGACACCGGGAATAATAGCAATTAATTGTCGCAGGTGTTCCGGCGGGACTGCAATCGTTCAGGCCGGCGGCCAGTCGCGACGTAATTCCCTGGGATTTTCTCTCGCGGTCGGAGTACAGTTTAGCGGACTCGAATCCCCGGCGGAGGATCCACAGCGACATAAAGGAAGGTCTGGAGGACATCACGCGGGAAGTAATGGCCTCCATAAACGCGTGCTCGCGGCAGCGCGGCCGCGTCGTCGAGGAAAGGTCAGCCCTATACGGGTACAGACGGGTGGATTCTTACGGCGCCGACACGATACTGGATCTCCTGCTGGTCTACCGGAAGTACAGAGGCAGAAAGGTCACGCTGCCGGTTAGGCGACACGTCTACCTCCACCAGCACTTCACCGGTACCATTTTAATTCGTTCACCGAAACGCCGTTTCCTGGCTGGCGGAAACGGCGACAAGCCGATAAGCCATGCATGATTTCTCTTTTTCTCGGTTCGCAGGACTGGAAATACGGGAAACCGTGGACGGCGAGGAGGTGGACGAGGTGAACAAACGCCGGGAGAACGAGAAGTCGCTGCAGAACATATTCCGCGGCGGTTTTCTGAACCTGAATTTCAACTCCGAGGAGGAGGATCCGGTCAGGAGCAAGACCATCCACTTCGTGCTGCCCCTGGCCGGCAGGCACGAGGTCTTCCAAAGGTTCCTACAGAACTACGAAGAGATCTGCCTGACCAGCGACCAGAGGACGGCCCTGCTGGTCGTCCTCTATCACCACAGGACCGAGAACTCCTTCAATCAAACGATAGATCTGATCGAGCAACTCAAGTACAAGTACAGAAGCGCCAGCATCGATATTCTGCCCGCTTCGGGCCCGTTCTCCAGGGCGAGAGCACTGGATCTAGCCGCTTCCAGGCTGCAGAACGACGATCTGATGTTCTTCGTCGACGTGGACATCGTGTTCACCGAGGCCGCGCTTTACAGGATAAAGGCGAACACTCTTCTAGGTAGACAGATCTATTTCCCGGTGGTGTTCAGCCAGTACGATCCGAAGATCGTGGGCAAAGGAGGGCGGGACCCGTTCGCCATCGACGAGACTTCCGGCTACTGGAGGCAGTTCGGCTTCGGCATCGTCTCGCTGTACAAGCAGGACTATCGAGCGGTGGGCGGCTTCGACCTCTCCATACAAGGCTGGGGAAAAGAGGACGTGGACTTCTTCGAGAAAGCCGTGAAGTCCAGCATCAAGATCTTCAGGGCCGCGGACAGGGGCCTGGTGCACGTGTACCACGACGTGGAGTGCAGCAAGGACCTCTCCGAGGTGCAGCTGTCCATGTGCATGGGCACCAAGGCCGACACTTACGCGGGAATGGAGACGCTGGCGAGGATGATCTATCAGAATCCGGACATCCTGCGATTCGCCAAAGCGAAGAGAGCGAACCTGACCAATGCTGCCGTTTGAGAACGGCCGACAACGGCTGACGTTACCTCCGACGATAACGCAGACACCGTGGTTCCGCAGTGCAATGAACGTTTCCGCGGGATCCGGCAGCATTTGTACATACACTGTGCGATTATGGTACTCTCGCGTACCCGATATTTAAGAGTGACATGAATTCACCAAAGCCATTGCCGTATAAGTTCGATAATTCGAGTCGACATCGAAGCTTGCTGCGCCGGTAAAACAGACCGCGGACACCGACGGGCTAATTTAACGATTACGATTAAATTTGTAAGCTGTTAGATCGGTACGCGAACGATCAACGTACGGGATCCGATCGACGTCCTGTGCGCCAAGATTACGGCATTGTTGGCGCTAGAAACATCGACGCGCCGCTCTAAGATCGTTTCTAGCGGCGGACGTGCCTCTCTTTCCTAGCGATGGAATGCGAATTATAGATTTGTTTTCAGAATCGTGTAGTTACGCGTGTTCGTTAGCTGGGGCTCCGCGCGGAACGGTAAAAAAAAATTAGTGCCGGCCGAGGGCGTAGAACCGCGTGCGAGACGATTCGAGATGCCAATACTCCTGAGAACGTTCCGCTGTATCAGTTGTGTAAGTACATGTGATATTATCGTGCCTTGTGTATAGACTTTTTATTTGTGAATTTTCTGTACTGCCTATTTTATCGTACCTATTTGTACCTACGCGCGACCAGTTGTGAAAATACGGCGCGCGAGAACCCCATCCACACTTGCATAAGCGTTTATGCAATTCTCGCTCGCCGAGATGCTTCGACATTTCATCGAATTCCAAATAAAATTTCTCTATTGAATAATCGTGTTGCGTCAATTGCTGCGCCGAGGAACAAACGGCTCCCCCTAATGCTCATCGACGTCTCGCTGATTTATCACAAAAACAGGCACCATCTTACGGGCAGGCATTGATCCACGGGGCTGCAAAGGGAAGGCCGTTTTTAGAATGTTTTTGGAACAAAAGCAAATGAAATTCAATTCGGACGGTGGGACGGTTAGCTCCTCGATTGTAAATCCGAAACACAAAAATTTAAATATACGGTAAATCCGATTGTCAACAAGTATAAAAACGAGCCGCAATGCTCGAATAATTGTATCTCTTCTTCCCAAATTGTCCATTTTTGTGCACAATCCGAGCGTCAATTATTGTAGCGTATGTATAACATTTACAAAAAATCGATCTACACTAGCACCCCAATCTACCAGGAAATCCATCCTACTAGTCTCAGTAACTGGTCCAAAATTTTGCTATCCACCTAGGTGGACCAGTTACTGAGACTAGTGGAATTGGTTTTCTGGATTTTTCCGATCTGTCCCGAAAATGAATTCCACTAGTCTCAGTAACTGGTCCAAAATTTTGCTATCCACCTAGGTGGACCAGTTACTGAGACTAGTGGAATTGGTTTTCTGGATTTTTCCGATCTGTCCCGAAAATGAATTCCACTAGTCTCAGTAACTGGTCCAAAATTTTGCTATCCACCTAGGTGGACCAGTTACTGAGACTAGTGGAATTGGTTTTCTGGATTTTTCCGATCTGTCCCGAAAATGAATTCCACTAGTCTCAGTAACTGGTCCAAAATTTTGCTATCCACCTAGGTGGACCAGTTACTGAGACTAGTGGAATTGGTTTTCTGGATTTTTCCGATCTGTCCCGAAAATGAATTCCACTAGTCTCAGTAACTGGTCCAAAATTTTGCTATCCACCTAGGTGGACCAGTTACTGAGACTAGTGGAATTGGTTTTCTGGATTTTTCCGATCTGTCCCGAAAATGAATTCCACTAGTCTCAGTAACTGGTCCAAAATTTTGCTATCCACCTAGGTGGACCAGTTACTGAGACTAGTGGAATTGGTTTTCTGGATTTTTCCGATCTGTCCCGAAAATGAATTCCACTAGTCTCAGTAACTGGTCCAAAATTTTGCTATCCACCTAGGTGGACCAGTTACTGAGACTAGTGGAATTGGTTTTCTGGATTTTTCCGATCTGTCCCGAAAATGAATTCCACTAGTCTCAGTAACTGGTCCAAAATTTTGCTATCCACCTAGGTGGACCAGTTACTGAGACTAGTGGAATTGGTTTTCTGGATTTTTCCGATCTGTCCCGAAAATGAATTCCACTAGTCTCAGTAACTGGTCCAAAATTTTGCTATCCACCTAGGTGGACCAGTTACTGAGACTAGTGGAATTGGTTTTCTGGATTTTTCCGATCTGTCCCGAAAATGAATTCCACTAGTCTCAGTAACTGGTCCAAAATTTTGCTATCCACCTAGGTGGACCAGTTACTGAGACTAGTGGAATTGGTTTTCTGGATTTTTCCGATCTGTCCCGAAAATGAATTCCACTAGTCTCAGTAACTGGTCCAAAATTTTGCTATCCACCTAGGTGGACCAGTTACTGAGACTAGTGGAATTGGTTTTCTGGATTTTTCCGATCTGTCCCGAAAATGAATTCCACTAGTCTCAGTAACTGGTCCAAAATTTTGCTATCCACCTAGGTGGACCAGTTACTGAGACTAGTGGAATTGGTTTTCTGGATTTTTCCGATCTGTCCCGAAAATGAATTCCACTAGTCTCAGTAACTGGTCCAAAATTTTGCTATCCACCTAGGTGGACCAGTTACTGAGACTAGTGGAATTGGTTTTCTGGATTTTTCCGATCTGTCCCGAAAATGAATTCCACTAGTCTCAGTAACTGGTCCAAAATTTTGCTATCCACCTAGGTGGACCAGTTACTGAGACTAGTGGAATTGGTTTTCTGGATTTTTCCGATCTGTCCCGAAAATGAATTCCACTAGTCTCAGTAACTGGTCCAAAATTTTGCTATCCACCTAGGTGGACCAGTTACTGAGACTAGTGGAATTGGTTTTCTGGATTTTTCCGATCTGTCCCGAAAATGAATTCCACTAGTCTCAGTAACTGGTCCAAAATTTTGCTATCCACCTAGGTGGACCAGTTACTGAGACTAGTGGAATTGGTTTTCTGGATTTTTCCGATCTGTCCCGAAAATGAATTCCACTAGTCTCAGTAACTGGTCCAAAATTTTGCTATCCACCTAGGTGGACCAGTTACTGAGACTAGTGGAATTGGTTTTCTGGATTTTTCCGATCTGTCCCGAAAATGAATTCCACTAGTCTCAGTAACTGGTCCAAAATTTTGCTATCCACCTAGGTGGACCAGTTACTGAGACTAGTGGAATTGGTTTTCTGGATTTTTCCGATCTGTCCCGAAAATGAATTCCACTAGTCTCAGTAACTGGTCCAAAATTTTGCTATCCACCTAGGTGGACCAGTTACTGAGACTAGTGGAATTGGTTTTCTGGATTTTTCCGATCTGTCCCGAAAATGAATTCCACTAGTCTCAGTAACTGGTCCAAAATTTTGCTATCGACCTAGGTGGACCCTGTCTCTTATACACATCTAGATGTGTATAAGAGACAGCTAGTAGAATTCATTTTCGGGATTTTTGTCATCTGTCCAGAAATCAATTCCACTAGTCTTAGTAACTGGTCCACCTAGGTGGATAGCAAAATTTTGGACCAATTACTGAGACTAGTAGGATGGATTTCCTGATAGATTGTGGTGCCAGTGTAGATCGATTTTCCATTTTAGTGGACAATCTGAGCGTCAGTAAGGGACACTCAAACCGAATTATATTTGAAAATGTGAAAAATCCTCGAAAGTATGAAGAATCCTTCTTCTCATCATTGTCTGGCATTGTAGAGTCAAACATCACTTTTTTATCAATCTTCCGCAATTCCGCGTCCCTTAAAAATTAGTAAATTTGGAGAAACTCGGGATATTATAGGTTCACTGCCTGCAAGAAAGGATAAAGTGTCTCATCGGTTCGAAAAATGATATTTCAAGAAAATTGACGTTTATTTTTTGAACATATTTATACGTAAACGTTGAAATTAACCGCATCATGTTCGCGTCCATACTGTTTCTAAAGACGCGAACGCTTGTGGGAAATATCCCGCCGTCGCAGAAAGTGTTTCAGACCGTTTCCAGCAAATTCAGGAAACGTCTGCGATCCTCATTAGCATTTATTAAGTGAGGCCAGCGGCTGGTTGATGGACGCATTTCAAAGATCCAGCGTCTGTTCCATCCCGGCGCGAGCGTTCGCCATATTTCTCGCGATAGAAAGTGTCTTCAACTTATAAGGATTCGTTCAAGGTCCCTTTAAGGATCGTGACGAAACTTGTCAATTAATCGAAGATCGCAATTAACCGATATCTCGCGAATCTTTCCTCAACATCGATCTCCGAGCTTGCTTTCCTTTTAGGAAGATCTCCGATGATCCGCGTTGCAGCGGATCAAGCGTCTCGCTCGCAACAACGATGCTTCTTCGTTGCTCCCGCCATCGCGTTCCGATAATGCGATCGAAGCTCCGATCGGAACAAACTCGAAAGAATGCGGGAGGCGCGAATAGTCGGGCCGGCGACCAGCTACGCCTCGTAGGAAGTCATAATTTATCTCTCAAGCTCAAGGCCGGTGCATATCGTTCGCCACAATCGCGTGGACGCGCGTCGTCGACGGAGCGAGTCGCTTCTACTTCGCAGCGGTTTACCGACGGCAACGTGTTTTGCTCGACTGTCCGATCGTGTTCCTGGTTTCTGTAACGGAAAGCTCAATCCGGGAGGAAAAATGGAGCCGCGATTGGTCTTGCTGGGGCTGGCAGTGCTCATCGCAGGGTCGAATAGCGACGCGAAGATCCTGACGGAGTGCGAGGCGACGATCGAGCTGCAACGAGCCGGCATTTCCCGGAGCCTGCTCAGCAACTGGATCTGCCTGATGAAGAGCGAGAGCAGCATGGACACTCGACTGGTCACCGGCCCGAAGACAGCCTCCAGCTACAGCTACGGCGTCTTCCAGATCAGCAGCGCGAAATGGTGTTCCAGAGGGCACGCCGGTGGCCTCTGCAACAAACGCTGCGAGGACTTCGCGAGCGACAACATCCAGGACAGCATCGCCTGCGCCAAGATGATCTACGATCGAGAAGGATTCCAGGCCTGGGAGGGCTGGGTGAAGAAGTGCAAGAACAAGCCCCTGCCCAACATCGCCAACTGCAGACTATAAGGAACGGTTATGCTCGATGCTGAAGATGTCTTCCGGGTGATGGCTTTCGCACGTTTCTATATTTCCATGCAATAGTGACGACATCGCGTGTGCCTAGATGATGTATGAAGATAGAGAGGATAGATGGTAACAACAAACCCTTGCTGCTATCAGCTAGCTACGATCCTGGCGATGCCCACGGCTACGATAGTGATGGTGCGGTCTTATGTCTCGGTATCAGCGATGTCCCGTTGCGATGAGTACCTTTCTATGTAAAATATATTCTATTTTCATGAAACTTTCTCTATTTCATTTTCAAACGCAAACGAGGAGGAGATTCTGTTCTTTCATTCCAGAGAGCCGGATTTTTCCTGGTTGTTGAAAAGATGAGTTTCTTTTCTTTTTTGTTGTCACTCCAATAGTAAAATTTCAGTCATTGCACAGTAAATTCGTCCATCTATCGTCTAAACAAAATTCAAGCCATTTAGTCCAGTTTTAAAAAAGCTATGCCGGTTCCCAAGTTTCCCTATTTATGTGCTCGCCGTTGCTTGTATGTACAGTAGTAAATTCTCCCCAATTGTCACTTAACATGTATACAGAAATGGACAATTTGAGAACAGCAAACACGATTATTCGAGCCTCGCGGTTCGTTTTTACAGTTGTTGACAATCGATAGCCATAAAAAACGAGCCACAAGGCTCGAACAATCGTATCTCCTTTTCCAAAATTGTCCATTTTCGTGGACAATCCGAGCGTCAATTAGAGAGACATTACTGTACATCCTATATTTCAATGCATGCACAGCCCATTTTTTTATGTGCGTGCACGATGTCTTTTTTACACGGAATTTTTATACACGGAATTCTTTTACATGGCATTTTTTCCACACGATTTTTCCTAAAACGTTTGCACCGCGTTAAAAAAAACAAGGTGTAATTCCCTTACGTTCTGAACGATNGGTTGTTGAAAAGATGAGTTTCTTTTCTTTTTTGTTGTCACTCCAATAGTAAAATTTCAGTCATTGCACAGTAAATTCGTCCATCTATCGTCTAAACAAAATTCAAGCCATTTAGTCCAGTTTTAAAAAAGCTATGCCGGTTCCCAAGTTTCCCTATTTATGTGCTCGCCGTTGCTTGTATGTACAGTAGTAAATTCTCCCCAATTGTCACTTAACATGTATACAGAAATGGACAATTTGAGAACAGCAAACACGATTATTCGAGCCTCGCGGTTCGTTTTTACAGTTGTTGACAATCGATAGCCATAAAAAACGAGCCACAAGGCTCGAACAATCGTATCTCCTTTTCCAAAATTGTCCATTTTCGTGGACAATCCGAGCGTCAATTAGAGAGACATTACTGTACATCCTATATTTCAATGCATGCACAGCCCATTTTTTTATGTGCGTGCACGATGTCTTTTTTACACGGAATTTTTATACACGGAATTCTTTTACATGGCATTTTTTCCACACGATTTTTCCTAAAACGTTTGCACCGCGTTAAAAAAAACAAGGTGTAATTCCCTTACGTTCTGAACGATGACTCTCGGCTGCATCTGGAGCGATCGCGATTGGGCCGCGCGATCTAATAAAAATGCCAAATCATCCGTCGGCGAACCGGGGACGATAAACGATCGCATGCCGCGCAATTACAGAATCGTACGCGATAGGATTGCGAGAGCCGAGAATTTCATAAACGGTTCGTGGCCCGTTCTCGTTTCGCGCGAAGACAAATCGCAACATCCTCGGCGGAGAGGAAGAGCCCCGCAATCGCGGCTAGTATCAATCCCACGTTATTCAACGGAGCATTATCGCTTTCCGGGAGAGGTAGCAGTGTCGATCGGGCTTGTCGGCTGATCATTGTTCTCCATCGGGGCCGCACGCAATCCAACTTCTGCTGTCGACCTTCAAAAAAATCTGGGGAACTGGTGGGGCGAGAAAAGGTAGCAGACTGCATCGATTCTAGTCGCGCTTCCTCAAAGCCGAACGACAATTAGCCGCTCGAGATAATCGCGCAGCGCGACGACGACGACGACAACGACGACGCCAGGGAACGAGCAGAACGTCACACGTAATAATCGCGACACACGCGTCGTTGTCGCGATCGTTCGTCGCAGTTAGGCGCGGAGCATCGCGTCGATCGACAGCGGAAACACGGTGGAAATGAAGACGGCGCAATTTTGGCTGACGGTGGCCGTCGCGACGGCACTGTTGACGCCGGGACAGGTGCACGCGAGGATCCTGACGAAGTGCGAGGCGACGCACGAGCTGCAACGGGCCGGCATCTCCAGGACCTTCGTCAGCAATTGGATCTGCCTGATGGAGAACGAGAGCGGGATGAACACGAACCTGGTGACCGGCCCGAAGTCGGCCTCCAGCTTCAGCTTCGGCATCTTCCAGATCAACAGTGCGAAATGGTGCTCCCGAGGACACGCGGGCGGCCTCTGCAACAAACGCTGCGAGAGCTACGCCGACGACAACATCCAGGACGACATTGTCTGCGCGAAGATGATCCTCGAGAACGAGGGATTCAAGGCCTGGAGCGGCTGGGTGAAGAAGTGCAAGAACAAGCCCCTGCCGAACATTGCCAGCTGCAGGAGATAATGAACGATGCCTAAGTACTCTACCAGGTGATGATTTACAAGACTTTTCAATATGTTTCCGCGCAACAAAGACCAGACCTTTCTCCGACGACAATCGGAGAACCGGCGCTGATAATTAACGATGCCTAGCGATTGACCTTGCTAATGCTATGTGCGTTTAATGCATAGGAGATCTCTACGAGGAAGGATGACTCGAGGAATGACTGATTGGGTGTCCGCCAGTTCAAGGCTATCCGGCGAGCGTGCGTTGATCGCGACGATAAAACTGTACACGCGAATTTGTCTCTCGCGTACCGGGCAGTCCGCGATGTTCGCCTCCGCGACGCTCGGCGCCGCGAATTCACGGAGTTGCGTCACGATCGAAGAACTTTTGAATAAAGGAGATACAGAGAAAACGTAGTACGCGAACATTGTTGATCCTCGAACGTTCGCGTTAAGCTGGAAAATACGTACGATTCACAAGTTTCGTTAGTTTCCTCGCTCGAATCGATTTCTGTCCACAAAATCCTGTAACGACGGGCAAATTTTGCGAACCGATCCGAAATCAGCGCGTCGAAATCTACAGGAACGTGATCAGAAAATCCAAATGTAAATGTTATCATTAGATAAGTCAGAATTTCGTTGGAACACGTCAAGTTCAACAGAACTTTTCAAGGCTAGCAGATACAAAAAAGTAAATGCCGTACCTTAAACGGCGCGTTTCGAACCTAAGGCAAACAGATAGCGTCGCTTTATCTCGTCGCTGTAAAAAATGTTCTTTTCATTTTGACGAAACTCTGTCGTTTCAGCCTGCTGGAGCGACGTCGTTGCTCGGTGCATCTTTCAGCGCGGAAAAGTCATCGGAAAGGTTCTTAGCTCGCGCCCATCGTTCGCTCGCGAGTGATCGCGATGCAGCGGTAACTTTCCGCATAGCATTTCTTTATCAGCGTAATTTCGTATTCTTTGGAGAAAAACCGGTTAGAGGTAACGTTACTCCGCCACCGCGATAGATCGGCGTTCCGATAGGCCGAATGTTTGCTCGCGGATTAGCGAGAGCAATCATGGCGCGTTACTTTGTCAGTATTGCTTTTTAAACCGCAGCGATATCGGATAAGGTAGCGTCGTCGCTATTCGACTCGGTGTCGGCCGTATCAATTCGGATTACGTAACGACGCCTGTCCGCGGTTGAAACGCTTGCGACTAGCACGGTTTCAAAACAATAGAAACAACAACGCCGCTTGGCGGTTGGGTCAAGCATTTTAACGGACAGCACAATGTCCACCGTTCGCGAGGCGATAAGTCCGCATGCATATGCGCCGATTATAATATTCGCATATTAACGGGGGAACGATCGTTCGTCGCTCGGCGACGCGGAAACGTCCGCGTTGCGCAAGGGGATGTTTCCTAAACGCGATTACGTTTAGGCCAGATTTAGGCCAGATGCGAGCCGCGCGACGATCCGAGATCGGACTTGGCAAGTCAAATCGGCCGAAATGAAACGGTTTAGAAATCCCGGCCGTTTTACAATGACCGAAGAACGCGTGACCGGACTCCGTGAATCACGTCCCGATTTCGTGAATCGCGGCAGATCCGACCGTGATACCAGCTCGTCGTTTGCATACATTAATGTCCCGCGCTGGAATGCGGTGTAATTAAATTTTTTACTTGCACGATGACGGCGTCGCCGTTATCGAGGACACCGGGCGTAAAAAAATACTGGTTACGCGAATTACGCGACGAAATGTCAAGACCACGGATGTTATCGAGATAACGGGTTAAGAATAGATACTCGTCGTCGTTCGATGCCCGAGTTTCGGGGCACCCATTTTCTGGCCACCGACACAAGATCCGAAAACACGAAACTCCATTTTCCTTTTCTCCATATGCTGAATTTTGCACAAGCTGATTCCGCTCGTAGCTGGAATCGTTGCAGTTTTTCGCATTTGTCGCAAGAGACTCGATGCACTCGGCACTCTCGTTCTTCCTGTGTTTTTAATCGCTCATTCGTTTCGTAACTGCATCACTCGATGGTAGTGAGTATAGATAGATTTGTATGCAGAAAATAAATATTCTCGATATTTGTTACAAAAAACAGCGGTCATTCATGAATCTCTTCCTTTCTTTAATCATTCATGCTAGTTGGAAAATTGATAGCCTGAAATTATCCTAATTTTTCTACACTAGTTCAGATAACACTCGCGCGATTTTCTCACAAATGCATAAAACCCGCAGTCTAGTAATTAGCGTTTCTTAGTCACTTAATCGTTTCGATTAGAATGATAAAAAGTTAGTTAAAAAGTTCACTCAATTAATTTCCCGCGAAAGGTATGAGAGTTAAAGCATGTATCCAATTATTTCCTGTAAAAGAGATATTTTCAAAGAGAAGTCTTGAAACCGGTCAATTTTACCTGCAGTTAGATTTCGTCTTAATAATTTTCCCCATAAAACGAGTCTCTCTCTTGAATGTCCTATGTATGGAAGCATCTCGAGCCTGACTCGTTGCTATACAGCAACAGGTTAATCTGCGAACACACAAGAAAGAAGAAATTTATTTGCAGGATTCGATCAGTCTGGCTGCAATAACGTGGAAATTAAAAAGGTTTCGTAAGCCCGCACGCGGTCGAAGTCCAATTATTTCCATCTTCCTGTTGTTTTAAGTGCGATCCGCTCGTTTTTCTCATAAATAGATAAAATCCTCGGTCTATACCTAACTACGACGCCACGAAACGTTTGCGTCGTTGTAGCGAGTACTTTCGACATGCTACTTCGCATTCAGCATACACCGATCCTCGCCATTTTTGGGAACATCGGTGATGTAGGTCAGCCTCTCGAAAGAAATTTACGTTGATAAGTTCGGCCTTGGCCCTGCGTTCACCTCCGACCGTGGAAGACGTTCACTGTATCATTTTAATTGCGCAAGAGCCGCTGAACACGACGTTCCAGGAAATTGCGATTCACGATTAGCGATTCGGCGAAACAGCGAAACTTAATCTCGTCGCATCTCGCAGTATTTGTTGTGTCTGATTTGATGGATGCATTGGCTCCGGAAATCGTGTAACGAATGGGCCCTAAGGCGCCTGCCCTGCTCCGGCATCGATTTCGTAAGAAACGATTTTCGTCAGAAACGCTGTCGCGAGTTTTGACGAGAACGCATTCTATTCTCGAGATAAGATTCGATTGGACGATAAATAAGCAACGGTGAAATTCAGTCTTGTCTTCTATCCTAGGAAATTGGGGTCGGAATGTTGGGACCCGTTAATGCCGTCGATGGTGAACGTGTCCAGCCGACGTGTTCTCACGCGATAAGAAGCGTCGCGAAACAACGCTCTCTTGGACGATCGCCTCGACCCGCTCGTCTTTCCGCGTTTCTCTTTTTCTCCTTAAAATCGATCGTTACCCGGTGCTCGAAGCGTTTTACATGATACGCTTAGGGGATAGAAGAGACTGTCGACTGTAAACGCGAACGATTGCGCAACGAAACCGTGGCACCGCGATCGAAAAATCACGACTTCCCGTTATCTCGTTGCACATACCAAAATTTCCGCGTCGAGTGTTTTTCCTTGTAGATAACTAAACGGCGAATCGACTGGCGCGCATCCGAACAGGAAAGTTCTCGTCTCTCGTGTCGGCGGCGATGATGCCGCGGCGATAACCGAACACGCATTTTAAGCGGCAATAATAAATCAGGTGAGGCTCGGCGATAACCGAGCCGAACGGTTTCAATTAAATCGTTCCGATATCGGACATTACAGGTACAAATCTGCCATTTAATCTGTGGTTGACACGCGAACATTATTGAGTTCATTAAAAAACAAATCGGAGTTCGGCGTCGTTTTCAATTCTCGGCATAGATCAGTGGTAACTCTCAGCGGTAACGTCTCTCATCAGCGTCGTGTTACACGACCGAGCAGACACGTAACTGTCAATAAAGTAGCAAAGCATAATCATTATCTGGTTTACCGTCACGGTAGCCGGCAACCGACGAAGCGGCCCCGGAAAAATAAGGCGCCGCTGGGTGCGTCGAAATGCTCGTTTTTTGGGACAGGACTCATTAACTTCCGTTCCCTTTACGATACAGACCAGTGTAACCAAGTTGGTTCCTTTTTCTTTTTTTGTTTACATTGAAAGCAAGCTCAGCGTGTCGCTATTACAAATGTTTCAGAAACCGAAACTTTGTTCAAAACTTCTAAAACAATCGTCTCTTCGACACAAATGCAATCTCGTGTGAAATAACTTCGAAAATCACAGAATTAAAGAGTGGACAAATTAGTCGCTACGATCACTTATTAACATTAAACCCACCGAGGTCTAAAAGCAACAAACAAGCGTTGCTTGTGAGAATCACATGAAAGAATTTATTTTAAAAAATCACAATTCTTATAATAGCGCGTGCCTGAATAAAGAAAAATACAGTAAATTCTCCCCAATTTTTCTTCAACTTGTAAGCAGAAATGGATGATTTGTGAAGAGGAGATACGATTATTCGAGCCTCGTGGCTCATTTTTACAGTTGCCGATTGTCAACAATTATAAAAACGCTGCAATTTTTGTTTACAAGCTGAAAGAAAAATTAGGGAGAATTTACTGTACATTCAACAATTTTTAACGGGAGCAGCTTTATGACTTCGATAATTATGAGATAAAAAATGTGAAACCGGTCGTTCGATCGGCGACGGTAGGTTCGGCTGTAATGAAGCCGTGTGAACGAAGGTACAGTACAAAATTTCGACGATCAATTTTGGCCGATGATGTCCATGAAAATTGATGTTTCGTTCCACAGTGGGCCGTCGCGGAACGTGCTGAAGAGCGCGGCCTCGCGATCGGCCACATAAACGTCGGCCAGGTGACAAGCGGCTCGCGTCGTTAAACCGAAAGTTCATAAAGCCGGATGTCGATGATCGCGGGAGGATGGCACGACGGATCGATTTCCCGATGCACGAACCCGATCGTTCCGCAGAGAAATCGGCTTCTCTAATCGGCGGACACCCGGTAGAATTTCAATCGGAGTGATGCGTCGACCGAGCCTGCCTGGAAAGGGAGACGAGAGGCGTGCATTGGCCGGGCTGATGCACCGCGGCGATGCACCGCGCGATCCGCTACGAGGCGATCCACTGCGATGCGATACGATGCGATGCGATGCAATGCGAAGCGCGAACGGTGATGCACGTAGGCGCACGTAAGCGCGGTTTTACCGCGGAGGTGAGTGTGCATGCACCTTTCACTAGCGGAAGTGAACAACTGAGACAAACGCGTGAGAGCGACCCGGGTCATCCGCGGGTTCCTTCATAGGCGAATGGACGCGCTTATCCGAGGGCGATCCGGGCCCGCGATACGGCGATCGATCACGGTTAATCCAGCCGCGTAATCGTCCATAATTATCGGGAGTTTGATTGCGCTTGTCCCCTGCATGTTGTCGTGGCCATCGAGGAAGTCCTTTAAACGTTGTTGTCGCTTCTGAATTATAGATGAGGGACCTCTCGATTGTCAGCGATAAACCACCGCGTCTACGAGCTGGTCTCTCCTCGGTTTATCGGCTTCCAACGGTGACGAAAATAACTGTTCTTCTTCGCGCTTACAACGATTAAAACATGTTCGGCTGTCGGACGTCCTTAGCAGAAGATTTATATTCATTTTGTAGTATAATATGTAAGTATCGAGGAAGAGAGAGCAGAGCGTTTTATTCTAATCAAACTCCGCAACGACGGACAGTGTTCGTATGAAATACGAATCTGTATTTTTCATACGTGTTACGACCGCGATGTTATTAACATTATTACTAGTCAGACTAGTGACCGAGATTTTATACGTAATCTATATTGAATATTCGTGTTTATTCATTTCTTCTAAATCAAGATTTGACTCTTCGTTTATCAGAGTCTAAAAATGAGAGTCGATGAAGACAGGTTACACATTTTTTTATTTTAAAATTGTTGAAGATTTAAAGATTCTTCCACAGGAAGTGATTGAATAATTGTTATAAATTGAATAGATTGTAATCAAAATAGTAAGAGGTATAGATAAATTCAATCTTGTTACTTTTGTAAAAGAACACACGACATTGAATTGTAGTACTCTATAGATTCAGTATTAAAGACAATGAAGTGCTAATCGACGTAATTATCAAAGAAATCATACTACAAAGAATTAATTACGTATATCGACTCCGATAAAAGGATTAACTGAATAAAATGGGTTCAAAAATATATTATGAAATATATTAGGGGGACCGAAAAGTTATGTCGTTTGTTTACATTAAATTCAAACAGATAAATATGCGCAGAAACGACATTACTTTCCGGTTCCCCTAATATTTGTGAAATATATTATAGAATATATTTGAGAAATATATTATAGAATATACTTGAAAAATATATCAAATTTTGAACGAGTGCGATTGTCACAACTAATAAGAAAAACATATACAACGTATCACATAAATGTTTCTGGAAAGTCATTCTAAGCCTCGCAAGCAACAGCTACAATAAATAATGATAATAATGAAAAATGTCCACCGTCCAAAGATTAATGAATTCGCAAAGCAGAAGCGAAGAATGGTTTACAAGCCCGCGAAACTTGATCTACCATCGAAAGCTCGATTTCTCGGTTACGTAANCGATGTTATTAACATTATTACTAGTCAGACTAGTGACCGAGATTTTATACGTAATCTATATTGAATATTCGTGTTTATTCATTTCTTCTAAATCAAGATTTGACTCTTCGTTTATCAGAGTCTAAAAATGAGAGTCGATGAAGACAGGTTACACATTTTTTTATTTTAAAATTGTTGAAGATTTAAAGATTCTTCCACAGGAAGTGATTGAATAATTGTTATAAATTGAATAGATTGTAATCAAAATAGTAAGAGGTATAGATAAATTCAATCTTGTTACTTTTGTAAAAGAACACACGACATTGAATTGTAGTACTCTATAGATTCAGTATTAAAGACAATGAAGTGCTAATCGACGTAATTATCAAAGAAATCATACTACAAAGAATTAATTACGTATATCGACTCCGATAAAAGGATTAACTGAATAAAATGGGTTCAAAAATATATTATGAAATATATTAGGGGGACCG